GCAAGAAAACCAAGAACTTTGGGTAACTAAAGTCTCACTGAAGAAAGTTAGGAAGCCCAAATCAAAAAATCCTAGCAGCTATTGGAATTCGAAAGCAAGTCTCAGGTACTGAAAGAGTGTTCAGACCTCTCGTGCTGCTTTCTTTCTTACCCTTCCTGCCTTACGTCACAGACTGCCTGGCTCCCTCTTTTGAGCAGGCTGCCTTGTTTCCATCTCTCCTTTATTTTTACAATGCTCAGATTTGCTATCCTATTGTTTCTCACTGACTGTGTGAGAACTGACTTTTCCAGTTTGGCTCCTCAGAAATAATTCTATGAAGCAATCTACCTGCACTGCAGCAATATGTGCAGACCCCAAAATCATAGCAGTTGTGCATATTAAATAGTAATTGTGCTGGCTGCTAATATGCCACCAGTCTTCAGTTGGTATTTTCCACTACCAACCAGCAAAAGTAATACCTAAATGCACATTAAGGGGAGGGGGACCAATTTTATTTGGCCATTATTTTATTGGGCTGATTTGATTTGCACCCAATTTCATATATAGGTTCAGTATATGACAATTGGCATCTAGGGCTAGGCTGCAACTCCACCTTTACTTTCTCAATGCACCTACATGCCTTGAAAGCCCCACAGATATAATAATTGCACAATGCTGTTTACATGTGAGTTTCCTTCTGTGTATTCTGTAGTCTTGCCCCTGAAAAACTGACTCACGTGTATCCGTCAACTTGCAGACAAAGCCTTTTATCCCAAAGAACTTCATGCTATCCGGATTGCCTGTATGGACAGACCTCACCAAAGTTCTTACTCCCTTTCATAAAAATAATGGGCTTGTACCCAAGCAAGAAACCTGTGGAGGGGCTTCCTTCCCTGCCTCCCCCCTTGCTGTATTATCCTTTGCAGAGGCTTGGCAATGTTAATTGCATTCAGATCAGGTTTAGGAGAGGAGATGGAAGAAGAGGGAGACTCCAGAACCCCTTTTTGCCAGTAATGAGTGCTGTGGTATGCCAATGGCTCTGAAGAGGTTCACTGCTCTGGAAGAAAGCTGACTTCAAACACACAGTGGTCTTAATGCAGGAAGCAGCTTTTCCTCAGAAGGAAAAAGTTCAACCGGAATGGCCTCACAACCTGCCAAGTGTTCTGGAGAAGAGTAAGTCTCCCATTTGTTAGATGGAATGACTCTTGAGAACTATTCCAGTGGCTTAGAGTCCAGTCTGGTGAATTTGAGCATGGAGCTTAGCAACACCTCTTCCCTAAAGAGTCTTGTAAATATGAGCTATGAAATAACTTAGATGGTGTCTCATTATTAAGGGTTTTCCTCCCTTCCTGGAACTATGTCAACTTTTTAAAAACAGTAGAAGGAATTTTCCCTTTGACAGGATTGCATTGGGAGTACTGCAAATAATAAAGGAAAAAAAGGATTTTGCTTTGCCTGAACTGATCTGGCAATTTAATAATTTCCAAGGGGTTCCAATGAAGCATCTTGGGTCATGGAATGACCAATTTCTGCTTGGGAATCAGACTTCACTGTTTTCTCAACCCTAATGCCAAAATGCTAAATTTCAATGTTCAGTTAGGTTTCCTGCTGTATTATAGGTCTTGGCTGGTTCATGTCATATTAAATAACACTTCCAAATTCTCACCAGTATAGT